ATAATAATCAAAAACCTCCCAACATGGGGCTGGCCCTGTGGCCTAGTGGTTAAGTCTGACATGCTCTGCTTTGGTGGCCCAGGTTCAGTTGCCGGGCGTGGACCTACACCACTCATCATCAGCCGTGTTGTGGCAGTGACCCATATACAAAATAGAGGAAGACTGGCATAGAGGTTAGCTCAGGGAGAATCTTCCTCAGGGAAAAAACAAAACAAAACAAAACCTCCCAACAAAGAGAAACCCAAAAGGTGAATTCTATCAAAAATGTAAAGAAGAATTAACAATCCTTCTCAAATTCTTCCCAAAAAAGAACAGCAGAAAGTACTTCCTAACTCATTCTATCAGGCCAGCATTACCCTATGTCAGCATAATCCAGACAAAGACATCAAAAGAAAAGGAAACTATAGATCAATATCTCTTATGAAAATAGATGCAAAATACTCAACAAAATAGTAACAAACCAAATCCAGCAGCATATTAAAAGGGTTATATATCATGACCAAGTAAGATTTATCCCAAGAATACAAGGGTAGCTCAATGTACAAACATTAATCAATGTAATATTCATTAATAGAATGAATGTTTTAAAAAAGGATCATATCAATTGATGTAGAAAATCATTTGACAATACCCAACACCATTTCATGATAAAAAACCCTCAACAAGCTAGACATAGAAGGGAACTTCCTCAACATGATAAATGGCATCTATGAAAACCCCACAGCTAACATTATACTCAATGGTGAAACTGAAAGCTCGCCCCCTAAGATCAACAAAGATATTCATCTCACCACTTATATTTAACATTGTATTGGAAGTTCTAGCCATAGTAATTAGGCAAGAAAAAGAAATAAAAGCTATTCAAATTGATAAGAAGTAAAGCTACAGTAATCAAAACAGGTGGTACTGGGGTCAGCCTGGTGACGTAGTGGTTAAGTTCACATGCTCCACTTCGGTGGCCTGGGATTTGCAGGTTCTGGTGCCTGGCCTGGGTGCAGACCTAGCACTGCTCGTCAAGCCATGCTTTGGCAGCATCCCACAAAAAATAGAGGAAGAATGGCATAGATGTTAGCTTAGCAACAATCTTCCTCAAGCAAAAAGAGGAAGATTGGCAACAGATGTTAGCTCAGGACCAATCTTCCTCACACACACACACAAAAACAGGTGGTACTGGCAGAAAGACAGACATATAGACCAATAAAATAGAATAGAGAGCCCAGAAATAAACCTTCACACATATGGTCAAATGACTTCAAAAAGGTTCCAAGACCATTCAAGGGGGAAAGACTAGTCTTTTCATCAGTGGTGCTTGGAAAACTGGATATCTACATCCAGAAGAATAAAGTTAGACACTTACCTTACACCGTATGCAAAAATTCATTCATAATGTATCAAAGACCTAAACATAAGAGCTAAAACCCTAAGACTTTTTAGAAGAAAACATAGGAGGAAAGCTTCATGACATGGAATTTAGCAATGATTTCTTGGATATGACACCAAAAACACAGGCAACAAAAGAAAAAAAATGGATAAATTGGACTTCATCAAGATTTAAAACTTTTGTTACATGTCAGTTATATCTCGATAAAACTGGGGGAAATATTAAAAACTTTTGCACATCAAAGGACACTATCCTTTGTGAAAAGGCAGCCCACAGAATGGGAGAAAATGTTTGCAAATCATATATCTATAAGGGGTTAATATCCAAACTATATAAAGAACTCCTACAACTCAACAATAAAAAAATATTTTTTTTAATGGGCAAAGGACTTGAGTAGACATTTTTCCAAAGAAGACATACAAATGGCCAATAAGCACATGAAAAGATGCTTAACATCACTAATCATTAGGGAAATGTGAATCAAAACCACAATACGATACCACTTCACAGCAATTAGAATGGCTGTTATTAAAAACAAAAACAGAACATAACAGGTATTGGTAAAGAAACTTGCAGAGAAATCGGAACTCTTGTGCATTGCTGGTGGGAACCTAATGATGTAGCTGCTGTGGAAAACAGTATGGTGGTTCCTCGAAAAATTCTAAGCATAGGGGCCAGCCCGGTGGTGCAGCAGTTAAGTTCACAAGTTCCACTTTGGTAGCCTGGGTTTCGCCAGTTCGGATCCCAGGTGCAGACCTACACACCACTTGTCAAGCCATGCTGTGGCAGGCATCCCACATGTAAAGTAGAGATGTTAGCTCAGGGCCAGTCTTCCTCAGCAAAAAGAGGAGGATTGGCAACAGATGTTAGCTCAGGGCTAATCTTCCTCAAAAAAAAAAAAGAAAAGAAAAAGAAAAAAGAATTCTAAGCATAGAATTACCATATGATTCAGCAATTCCACTTCTAGATATATATTCAAACAAATTGAAAGCAGGAACTAGAACAGATATTTGTACACCTATGTTCATAGCAACATTATTTACAATAGTCAAAAGGTGGAAACAACCCAAGTGTCCATCAACAGATGAGTGGATAAACAAGCTCTAATATGCATACAATGGAATACTATTCAGCCTTAAAAAGGAATGAAACTCTGATACATGCTACAACATGAATAAAAACATTATGAATCTTGAAAACATTATGCTAAGTAAAATGAGACAGACACAAAAGTACAAATATTGTGTGGTTTCATTTATCTTAGGTACCTAGAATAGTAAAATTAGCAAGAGACAGAAAGTAGAATAATGGTTACCAGGGGTTGGGGGAAGAGGTAATGGGAGTTACTGTTTAATGGGTACAGAGTTTCAGTTTGAGAGGATGAAAAAGTTCTGGAGATGGATGTTGGTGTTGACTGCATAACAATTTGAATGTACTGAATGGCTGGATTGTACACCTAGAAACGGTTAAAATGGCAAGTTTTGTGTTATGTATATTACACAATAATTAATTTTTTAAAAGAATTGTTCAAGTATAATGGCAATAAACATTCTTAAATATTAAATTCAAGCAATAATTTTTGAAAGATGCTATTTAAAAATAAAATCCAGCCAATTAATAAAGCAGTTTGCAACCCATATAACGAAGAGCTAATTCAATATAAAAAGATCTCCTACAAATAAACATGAAAAAATCAACCTCAATAGAAAATTGAGCAAGAGATATAAACAATACACAGAAATTGAGTACAGATGACTTTTAAACATATGACAAGATTCTGTACCTCATTCTTAATAAGAGAGATACAAATGAAAATTATATTGAGGTATCATTTTTCACCTATTCTTCTTTCTTTATAAATGCAAAGAAAAATGTATCTAACAATATTTTCCTAATATTAATAGTAATAACTTTTGGATGGTAAGATTTGGGGGAGTTTTTAAAGCATTCGTTGTTGTGCTTTTTATAGTGTTTGTATTCCTCATAGTGAGCATGTATGATTTTGAAGTGGTTTTTAGTTAAAAAATAAAACAACGTAAATATGCAAGATGAGAACAAGGATGAATTATTTTCTTCCATGTACTTCACAGTATTTTTTAAAACTTCTTCAACCTCCTCCCAAACTTTCACATATTTTTAATGCATTTCAACTCCTGATATGACGTACTTCCAGTTTTATATTTCTCCTTGACACTCCTGCCTCCATCCACACATTGTCCTCCCCCATCATGATGATCCCAACAATTACCCCTTTGATTATCCCAATTCTACCCATGTTCAAGGTTCACCTCAAGTACATCCTCCTCCTGAGAAACACTACAGCTTATTGGCTAAGTGCCCAGACCCAGAACAGAAAGATTATGTGGTCCAAAAGTAGGCTTCTCCGCTTACTGGCTCTATAACTTTGAGCAAATCGCTTAACCTTTCTAGGACTCAGTTTCCTCATCTGTAAAAGAGATGAATTATCTCAGTGGGTTTTTGTAAGGATTAAATGAGATCATGCAAGTAAAGTGCTTAGCAGTACTAAATTTGTGTTGACAGTAATAATATTGGCATTCCTCCTGACATCCCTGATTTAATTATTGACTCTACAAATAATTAGTCCTTATCGTATTCTGGTTGGTTTCACAAGGGAACTTATGACTACTTTTGGGGAAAATGACAGGTCTTCCCTCCTTAAGGTACTTAAATAATACATTCACTTTACATTTGATAGTTTTTAAAAAATTTAACAAACAGCTTTACGCATTCGTTCCTAGTGAGAGACACAGCCCTCAGGAAAACACATTTCATGATGCCCACACCTACTTCTCTCTCTTTTAGTCCAAGTAGCCTAATGTACCTAGGCTTCCTGAAAACATGGTAATGAAGCTGTGAACTCCCCTGCTGTTAGCCTCCACACTTCACTGTGAGACGGGTACCGGCTGTCCGGGGTCTGCGATTAGTGAAGGAAACGTTTGAACTATGAGAGAGCTCAGTGTTCAAATACTCACGCAGGAGTCATGATTTGTGTTTAAGCCTGCTTGAGTAGGATGAACCGGTGTTGGACCCGAACAGCTCTGCCCTCTCACAGGTGACTCACTCAGGCTGCTGGTGACTACAGTCTCCATGACAGCGTCATCCCAGGCCACCCAGCTCTCCAAGGGCACGTTGCTCAGGGAGACAGACGTCAGAGCGAGAGTACCTTTTGGAGTGCTAGCTTCTTTTTCCCGCAGAAAGGCAGGGGTTTCCATTTGTGTTGCCAAATATGTAAGTCTTTTCCTGCAGGAACACTTTAAAAGACTACTCCTTTTTGCCAGAAAACCAGGGCCCCCTACAGCAAAATTATTTACCTTTGATTGTTTAGGAACAATTGCTCACTCCCTTTCTATTTTTGACTTCGCTTCCTCCTCAAGAAAGTTAAAGGATATTTTTGCTATTGGTAGGTCATATTTTTCTAGAGGCAAGCTGTTCTAGTATTGATTTCTAAACTGAGGTTAGGAGATTATCTGTGGAACAAGCACATTTTTACACAGAAGGCCAGACACAAGGTCACACAGAGGACAGAGTTGATAGTTTAGCAGCAAAGTACAAACATATCTTCTGAGTGGGAAAGTGGATATGGAGTTTCCCTGCTCACCTGACACCTCACTCGACACGTGCAGATCGAAGCCCTCCAAAACTTGGTCCTTTTCCAAGACTCTGCAGCTCAGGGAAAGGCATCATGATGTTGGTCCAGGTCCTCCTAGAAAAGATGCCAAGATGGAATTAAACATGCAAGAGTTTATTGGGGAAAACGCTCATGAAGGGTAAAGAGGAGAGAGAGTGGGAGTAGGCAGAGAGAGACTCAGACTGTGATGCAGGTCTGTCCCCTGTGAAAGGGGAGAGGGAAGGAAGGAGGATTAGGGAGGAAGAGCCTCAGACTTCAGAGCACTCTGAGAAAGTGTTGGCCACACTGATGGGAAGCCCTGTTGGAGGAGTCCCACCTTGGGGCGAAATGGCCTGGATCTGGTACCCACACTGTGCTCATTCTTTGGCTGGGAGCCGCCAGAGAGTATGTGGCCTTGTGTGAACACTGCAGCAGATCTGAAGGTGTGGCAGCTGGAGGCTGTCAGCTATGTTCTTTGTAGAAGGTTCTCTTGAGGGGAAATCTGAGTACCTACATGGCTGCCACAATCATTTATTCAATTATGCAGCCTTGGAGTCATGCTTGATATTTCCTTCTCCCTTATCTCTAAGAACCAACCCATTGCCAAGTTCCTGACCATTTTACCTCCTAAATATCTCACCTCCATCCATCTCTCTATATCTTCTCCACCACTACCACCATCATCTTGCTCCCAACTGGTGATATCTTTCAATCTATTTGCCACATAGCAGACAGAGCAGTCTTTCAAATCTGACTTTTCACAAGTCAGATGATATGATTCCCTACATAAACAACGTCAGTGCTCATTGGATAGAGACTTAAGTCCTTAGCATGACCTTCAAGGCCCTACCTGTTATAGCTTTTGCCTTACTCTCCAGTCTCTTGTGAACTTGGGTTCGTCCTACTCTCTCTACTCCATTGACCCTTTGGGCATCAGATAGTTCAAATGGTTCAAAGCCAGCCTGCTTCCAGTTCCCCAAATGCTCTAAGTTCTTTCCTGCCTCAAGACCTTTGCACATGCTGTTCCCTCCACCAATTAGGTCTTCTCCAACTCCATGCCCCTTTACCCAGTTAACTAATCCTCATTCCTTAGCTCCCAATTCAAACATCACTTCTTCAGGGAAGCCTTCTCTGACCCCCAGACAAGTTCAAATCCTTTGTTATTCCCTCTCATAGAATCAAATTTTCTTTGTAGCATTTAGGATGGTATTCTGTATTTGACTGATTATCTGGTTGTCTGACTGTCTCACCAAAGTGTGATTCCTGAGGGCAGATACCAAGTCTAATTTTCTCATTTATTGAATCCCCAGCATTAGCAGAGTGGCTGCATTTTTGTAGTCACCACAAAACATTTGCTGAATGAATGAATGAAGTATCTAAAAGGGTTATTTGATTTTTTTTTCCTTTTTGTTTGAATCACACAGCAAGTGTTTTCTAACCAGTGAATTCTATGTTTCTCTGTATTTATATTGTTCTCCAGCTGTGCTGCATGCTCTCCCCCACCCCACGCCCACACTCTGCCAGTGGTAAAGTCTTTGAGGGCTGGCCTTGGACTCGGATTTTGGGTCTTCATTGAAGAGCACTGCAGGCCTGGATAAAGTGCTTGTTGCAGAACTTGCTATTGCACAAGATTTTATCCTAGAGTTAGAGGGTCAAGGAGGGTAGGAAGGAAGAGCAAGCGAGTTTCCTCAAAGAGTTGGGATACAAAATTAGTCTTTGAAAGTTAAATTATAAATCAAGGGGCCGGCCAGGTGGCGCAGCGGTTAAGTGCGCACGTTCTACTTCTCGGCGGCCTGGGGTTTGCCGGTTTGGATCCTGGGTGTGGACATGGCACCGCTTGGCACACCACGCTGTGGTAGGCATCCCACATATAAAGTGGAGAAGGATGGGCATGGATGTTAGCTCAGGGCCAGTCTTCCTTGGAAAAAAGAAGATTGGCAGCAGTTAGCTCAGCACTAAACGTCCTCCAAAAAAATAAATAAATCAAGCACATCAGAGCAAAGATATAAAAAATGCCTCCCTTAAGAGAAATAAGGATTCCAGGACCTGGAAAGCCTAACAGTACTGTTACTCAGTAAGGCCTTGCTCTATCTAAAAAAGAAATGTGTCCATCGAGGAGACGCAGCCGGAGCAGCATAATAAATAGCACCTCAGCAACTCAGATGGACGGTCCACCAGCCACCCTCCCAAAGAGAAGAGCCATAGGCCAGCAGGAATGAGTGATCAGTCCTCCCAGCAGGTTATGTGACCTTTGGTGTGGAGAAAGACACACCATGATGCCCATGATGCCCAAAGCTGATACCACTAAACATTTAAGTCAGGCAATTCACTCTTCTGATTCCGATTTCAAGCTCACCAAGCCACCTTCTGACAATTAGGCTCCAAACTGCACAGTTACAAGAAGAGAGTTCACTCTCCAGGCAACCTCTGGTCTTCCTGACAGTTTGGCTTGTAACGGGAATGGTTAAGTTCTAGGTTTTGGAACCAGATGGCCTTTATTTGAACCCTGACTCTACCACTCACATACATACTAACTGTGTGACCTTGGGGATTATTCCTCACCTTTTTTCCCCCAAGTGAAAAGAAGATCACAATACACTACATCATCATAGGGAGAATTAAATGAAGCAATGTATGTAATGCGCTTAGCATAGAGTCTAGCAAATAGTTAATGAAATAAGTTGGCATTCTGATTTTACACAACACTGATTTTTAATCAACACTAAAACACTGAAAAGATGAAATTTTTTACCCCACAAGGTCAAGAACCAAATGTGGACCTGGAGAAATCATCAAGATGATAGACTCCAGGCTAGCCTTCACCCCCTGGCACCTCTCTGCTCACATGTGTGACATCTGTAAAAGGTAACCAGGATTTGGCTTTATCTTCTTGGGTCTCTACCTCTCTTTTCCTGACCCTCATCTCCCAGACATACTTTTTTTTTTTTTTTGATTTTTTTTATTGAGTTATTGATAGGTTACAATCTTGTGAAATTTCAGTTGTACATTAATGTTTGTCAGTCATGTTGTAGGTGCACCATTTCACCCTTTGTGCCCACCCCCCACCCCATCTTTCCCCTGGTATCCACTAAACTGTTCTTAGTCCATAATTTTAAATTCCTTATATGAGTGGAGTCATACACAGATTGTCCTTCTCTCGCTGGTGTATTTCACTTAACATAATTCTCTCAAGGTCCATCCATGTTGTTGCAAATGGAATGATTTTGTTCTGTTTTGCAGCTGAGTAGTATTCCATTGTATATATGTACCACATCTTCTTTATCCATTCGTCTGTTGCTGGACACTTAGGTTGTTTCCACGTCTTGGCTATTGTAAACAGTGCTGCAATAAACATTGGGGTGCATAGGACTTTTGGGATTGCTGACTTCAAGCTCTTTGGATAAATACCCAGTAGTGGGATGGCTGGATCGTATGGTAGTTCTATTTTTAATTTTTTGAGGAATCTCCATACTGTTTTCCATAGTGGCTGCACCAGTTTGCATTCCCACCAGCAGTGTATGAGGGTTCCTTTTTCTCCGCAACCTCTCCAACATTTGTTGCTATTAGTTTTAGATATTTTTGTCATTCTAACGGGTGTAAGGTGATATCTTAGTGTAGTTTTGATTTGCATTTCCCTGATGATCAGCGATGATGAGCATCTTTTCATGTGCCTATTGGCCATCCGTATATCTTCTTTGGAGAAATGTCTGTTCATGTCTCCAGCCCATTTTTTGATTGGGTTGTTTGATGTTTTGTTGTTGAGTTGTGAGAGTTCTTTATATATTATGGATATTAAGCCTTTGTCAGATATATGATTTGCAAATATTTTTTCCCAGTTAGTGGGTTGTTTTTTTGTTTTAATCCTGTTTTCATTTGCCTTGAAGAAGCTCTTTAATCTGATGAAGTCCCATTTGTTTATTCTTTCTATTGTTTCCCTTCTCTGAGAAGGCATGGTGTCCGAAAAGATCCTTTTAATACTGATGTCAAAGAGTGTACTGCCTACGTTTTCTTCTAGAAGCATTATGGTTTCAGGTCTCAGCTTTAGGTCTTTGATCCATTTTGAGTTTATTTTGGTGAATGGTGAGAAAGAATGGTCAATTTTCATTCTTTTACATGTGGCTTTCCAGTTTTCCCAGCACCATTTGTTGAAAAGACTTTCTTTTCTCCATTGTATGCCCTCAGCTCCTTTGTCAAAGATAAGCTGTCCATAGATGTGTGGTTTTTATTTCTGGGCTTTCAATTCTGTTCCATTGATCTGTGCACCTGCTTTTGTACCAGTACCATGCTGTTTTGATTACTGTAGCTTTGTAGTATGTTTTGAAGTCAGGGATTGTGATGCCTCCCGTTTTGTTCTTTTTTTCTCAGGATTGCTTTAGAAATTCGGGGTCTTTTGTTGCCCCATGTGAATTTTAGGATTCTTTGTTCTAATTCTGTAAAGAATGTCATTGGGATTCTGATTGGGATGGCGTTGAATCTGTAGATTGCTTTAGGTAGAACGGACATTTTAACTATGTTTATTCTTCCAATCCATGTACATGGAATGTCTTTCCATCTCCTTATGTCATCATCCAATTCTCTCACAAAGGCCTTGTAATTTTCATTATATAGGTCCTTCACTTCTTTGGTTAAATTTACCCCAAGGTATTTTATTCTTTTTGTTGCGATTGTGAATGGTATTGTATTCTTGAGTTCTTTTTCTGTTGGTTCATTACTGGAGTATAGAAATGCTACTGATTTATGCAAATTGATTTTATACCCTGCAACTTTGCTGTAGTTGTTGATTACTTCTAACAGTTTTCCAATGGATTCTTCGGGGGTTTCTATATATAAGATCATGTCATCTCCCAGACATACTTTTTATGTAGAAGCCAATATAGCTCTACGTTGCTCTCATGGAGTCAAGAATTATTGTCCTGTGACAAGGAAGAGGTTCCAAGGCTTGCCTTGACTTTTTCTCTTTTTCCTTCATACTACAGACCAAAAGCATCATCTCCTGCAGGGGAAACATGGGCTGTTCTTCTTCTATCATCATTTGGCCTGCCCCACTTCCCCACCTGCTCTCAAGGGAAATACTGCAAAGACACATAGAAAGCCACAACATTAGTCATAGATCAAGGCCTTTATCATACAAGGAGTGTCCCCAAATCACAAACAGGCAAACCAAAGTGACTCTGGCAAATTATGCAGTTTATTTTGTTTTTCTGTGCCAGTTATCAGACTGCTCTATGATGAAAATGAACAAACACAGGGCAAATTCTGTCTGGGGTATGGAGTCTTGCCAATGTTTTCCAAGTAGAAACCCTTACAAATTCAGATCTCCGGGGCCCAGGCTGGACAGAGCTGTAAGCCCTTCCATCAAACTTTGATTGTAGCAGTGCTCTTCTCTAACAACAACTCGGTCCAGTGGCATAATTATAGAGGGTAATTGTCAGGCTTAAGTGTGAGGTGCCTTCCAAAAAGACAGCAGTGTCCCCTCAGTCCTTCTATGTCCAAACTTTGAAGACTATCCTAGTCACAGAGCCCTCCAGTTTTCTCAGCTGACCATGAGAGAATGTCTATCAAGCATCCAGAAAAACAATGACTTGGTCACTGCTCTCAAAGAACCTACCTAGAGCCTAAGAGAAAATACTAAGTATTTTCTCCCTTCTATTATTTCACTTAATTACAGCAACTCTGAGGTAGGCATGGTTATTAGCTCCATCCTACAGGGGAATAAACTAAGCCTGAGGGAGTAAATATTTTGCCCGAAATCACACAGCCAATAGGTGAGAGAGCCGGAGCTTGAACCCCGGAATCTCCAAGTCCTTGGGTATTGATGGGCACCCTTTAGACCAGGGAGTCCATCCTTAAGCTTGCTGTTCCAGTTTTTTAATCAAATGAAGGGTCCCCCATTTCACCGACTTCACTGACTTTCGATTTCTCTGCTGACCCAGGATGAAGGGTTTGGGACCTCACGGTCAGGACCAGGCTGTTAGAAGTGATGGTGCCACCAGCTGGGCTTGGGAGACAGGCCGACCCATGGGGTCTGCCAGCAAAACCTATACCGGTTCGCTCAGCGCCTGCGACTGGGACCCCTCCGAGGCCGCCCCGGCCAGCACCCGCCTCCGCCGGCCAGAAATCCCGACACGCCGCCAGCACAGGCCCGGGGCCGCCGACAGCCACGAGGCCCCGGCCGGCGCGGGCTGCAGGGCAGACGGGGGAGGCGGCCCGCGGGGCCGGGCGAGGGGACGCGGGGGGCCCGTCCGCTGGCGGCCGCGCGCAGACCCCGGCCCAGGCCCGCGCCCCGCGTTCGCCGCGCGCTCGCGGCCGGGCCCGCCTCTCGGCCGTTTTCGCTTTCGCTTTCCTGCCGCTCTCGATGAGGAAAATGAAAGTGGCCGTGGCCAGCACCGGGAAGCCGCCGGCTGGGCGAGGGGCGCAGAGCGCGGCGGCGGCCGGCCCGAAGCCGCGGAGCCGAGCAGCCGAGGAGCCGGGAGCCGGGAGCCGGGCCGCAGCCCGCGCCCGGCGAGGTAGGTAAACGCCGGCCGCCTCGCGGGCTCCTCCTTGCGGAACGGGCGGGCGGGACGCCAGGCGGCCATTGGACGCTGGCCGCCCGGCCGGGGTTCCAGCGCGGGGCTGGGAGGGCCTCGGCGCGGCGCCCCTGGGGCTTGTGTTGCTCTGAAGCTGCAGGCCCGGCTGAAGACCTGGGGGAGGTCAGACACAAGTGCCAAGGATCTGGCAGCTTGAGGTCGAGGTGGGACCGTGGCAAGTCAGGCCACCGCTCCCAGCACACGTCTCCTTTAGGTAGAACATCGACTCCCCCCTAGCCCGTGTTTCGGTAAACATCAAAGTGGGGGGATGTATGTAAAATGCCTAGCAGAGGGCCTCGCCTGAGCTCAGCAGGGAGCAGCTCGGGACTTACCCCTCCTTACCGATCAGACTCTCCTTCCCCACTCAGCACCGTCGCTCGTGTAGTGTGACTTTCTAACGTTTTCAGATCTGGTGCGCCTGGGCGCAACTGGCTGCCTCCCAAGCGTCTGGCAGCTCTCCTCGGTGGTCGTAGGCATGGAGAGCAGCTAGGCCAGGATGCCGCTCCCTCCCCACCGCCCTGCTCTTGTGAAGACAGGAACTCACTCTGCAGGAGCCCCAGCCCCCAGGCTGGCACAAATGGTCAGGGATGGGTGCACTCAGGGACCAAGTCCTTCCCAGACCAGGAAACTTTCTGTCCCCTGCGCCCTACAGCAGAAGAGTGAAAGATGAGTGCCCTGGTCTTTGCCCTTGGTCAAGTATGCCCAGCTCATTCGTTGTAGCGAGAATTGGACTCCACCTAAAGGCTGTGGAGACAGCCTCTGTCCTTGGGGTGTTTCCCATGCCCTGGCAAGAGAAAATGGATATGCACGTTGCCCACAGGGCCAGTTGTGTGAGACAAGCATACATGGGAGAAGACACTGAGTGTTGGAAAGTAAAGTGGCTGAATCTGCTGGCACTTGACTTAGGACGTTTGAGTGATGGCAGTTTTCATAGCCTGCACCCGCCTTTTACCCAATTTTTGTCTCAATAAAAATAAATTCAGCCTAGTCACATGGATCTGTTCATAAGGCCCATTACTAAAACAAAAGTTGAATGATCTTAACTTTGAAAATAGAGGTCTGAATTTGACAAAAGATGGCCCAAGGTCCTAATTTTTAAAACATGGGGTTCCCCCCCCATGTGGAGTATTCATTGCTTTTATTTTATTTTATTTTTAAGATTGCCACCTGAGCTAACATCTGGTGCCAGTCTTTTTTTTTCTTTCTCCCCCAAACCCCCCAATACATAGTTGTATGTTCCAGTTGTAGGTCCTTCTGGTTGTGCCATGTGGGACACTGCCTCAGCATGGCTTGATGAGCGGTGCCATGTCCACTCCCAGGATAGGAACCCGGAAACCCTGGGCCGCCAAAGTGGAGTGCTCAAACTTAACCTATCGGCCATGGGGCCGGCCCCTGCTCTTAGAAAATACTGCCTTTATCATGAGCCGGAAAATCAGATTCTTTGATTTTGTCACTTACCTTCAATGAGCTATTCTTTTTCTTCTGCATTCCCTAATGTCCCTCTCTTCTCTCTCCCTCCTGTTACCTGAATTTAAACTGTACTAGGTGGTTCTCTCCCTTTCCTCTCATCTTCTGTCTGCGGGTGGCGGGGAGGGGTGGTGTGGTAGCCCCCATCCACCGCATTTTCACCACCCCAGGTTCTTGCTTCCATGTTGCTGAAAACTGAATGACTCAGCTAAAGACCAAGCGAGCCACTGTCTTCCCCACTACCTTCTTTTCTCCTTAGCTTTATCATTCGTTGTTTTAGCCACCAGCATGTGATGCACTTTATTACATTTTTTGCTAGGAAAGTAATGCATGGGACTTTATTTTTCTTAGGATCTCAGGCCTACAGAATTGAATTGCTCATACTCCACAGTTCGTGGCACACTATAATCCTTGGTCCATTTAAAGTTTCTCTTTCGTTCTGTTTTATTTTATTATTTCCTCCTTTTATCCTCCATTTCTCTCTCAACACCTCCCACCCCACCCGGCCCAGACTTAAGCAGCAGCGCTGGTATATTTGTTTGTTTTTCCAAACTACCTTTCATTATATCTTCTTAGAAAATATGTGTCTTTAAAAGATAGGTCATGTTTTGCTTTTGTTGCACTTACTTAAATAAATACCATTGTGCTGTAAATCTCATGCTGTTTCTTTTTCTCCCCTCAGCATTATGTTTTTGAATCAGACCATGTTGCTGTAGGTGAGTCTAGTTCATTACTCCTGGCTGTTGCATAGTTTTCTTTCAAAAGCGTATCCTACAAGTATTTAACCAATCTCCTGGGACTAGACATTGGGTGGGTGGCCTCCAACTCCTTCTTTCTACAAACGGTGCTGTCTCCATGTGGTCTTGTGCTAGAGTTTCTCTGAGATAGATGACAGATAGATATGAGATTGCTGGTTCTAGGAAACTTGCATGATGTCTCTTGCTAAAAATGCTACCTTGTGCTGCAGAATGGCTGCATCAGTTTCCTCCCACCAGGAGTGCATGAAGTGCCTTTTTCAACATCTGTCAACACTATTATCTAATTTACTGTTTTTCGTCAAACTGGTAGGTTAAAGCAGTACTCCAGTTCTGTTTTAATTGAGCATCTCATCTTATTGTTTTGCCATTTGTGAAGTGCCTGTCTGTTTCATTTGCCCTTCTTTTCTTTGAGTTTCTGATATTTTTCTATCTGGTTTGCATTTTGTTCCTTATTTATTGATATCCTTCCATATTACGATGTTAATCCTTTGTCAAAGGTAGATATTGTAACTCTTTCCCTAGTCTTGTCACCCATCTGTTAACCTCATTTACGGTCTCCTTTTTATTATTAACAGCTTTATTGAGACATAATTTACATACCATAAAATTCACCTGTTTAAAGTAGAAAATTCAGTGATTTGTAGAGTATTTACAGAGTGTATAACTGTCACCATAATCTAATTTTAGAACATTTTTATTATTCCATTAGCAGTCACTCTCCAATATCCTTAATATGCCCCTCCCCAGCCATAGGCAAGCACTAATTTTACTTTCTGTCTCTCTATACTTGCCTTTTTCTGGACATTGCATGTGAATGAGATTATGCAATCTGTGGTTTGTTGTGACTGGCTTCTTTCACTTAGCATAACATTCTGGAGGTTTATCCACGTTATAGCACGTTCAGTAGTTTGTTCCTTTTTATGGCCCAATAATATTCTGTCATATGGATGTACTGCATTTTGTTTATCCATTCATCAGTTGATAGGCATTTAGGTTGTTTCTACTTTTTGGCTATTATGAATAATGTTTCTGTGAACATGCATGTCTACATTTTTGTGTGAACATATATTTTCATTTCTCTTGGGTATATACCTAGAAGTGGAATTGAATTGCTGGATCAGATAGTATCTCTATGTTTAAACTTTTGAGGAACTTCCAGACTGTTTTCCAAAACATTTTATAATCCTACGAGGAGTGCATGAGGGTTCCAGTTTCTCCACATCCTCACCAACAGTTGTTGTCTGTCTGTCTTTTTGATTATAGCCATCCTAGCAGGTGTGAAGTTGTAGCTCATTGTGGTTTTCCCTGATGATTAACAATGTTGAGGATCTTTTCATGCACCTATTAACCATTTGTATATCTTCTTTGGAGAAATGTCTATTCAGATCTACTTTTTAAATTGGATTATTTGTCTTTCATTATTGAGTTGTAAGAGTTCTTTATATATTCTGGATATATGTCCTTTATGAGATATATGAGTTGCCAATAGTTTCTCCCATTCTGTGAGTTGTCTTTTCACTTTTTTGGTGGTGTTCTTTGAAGCAAAAAAATTTCAGGTTTGTTGAGATCCCGCTGATCAATCTTCTCTTTTATTTCTTGTGATTTTGGTGTCATATCTAAGAAATCATTGCTTAACCCAAGGTCATGAAGAGTTACTACTGTGTTTTCAGCTAAGAGCCTGAAAGTTTTAACTCTTACATTTAGGTCTATAGTCTACTGTTTTTTAACATAAATTTTTTAACTTTATGTAGTCGTATCCATAATTTTTCTCCTTTTAGTTTGTGTTACTTGTGTCTTAAGAAATCCTTGCCTACCTGAAGATCATAAAAATTTTTTTCTATGTTTTCTCCTACTAACTTTATTGTTTCCTCTTCTGCATTTACGTCTTTAATCCAATTGGATTTTGTCTTTATTACTATGGCTTTGTAATATGTCTTAGTACCTACCTTTTTGCTTTTCTTTTTCAAACTTTTCTTAGGTTGTCATGGACTTGTTCTTCCATAAACATTTTAAAATCTGTTTGGAAGGTTCACAAAAAGTCCTCCTGAAATTTTTATTGGAATTTAGTTGAAATCATAGATCGATCTGGGAACAATTGATACTTTTCAATGTCAAGTCATCTCACCCGTGAATATGGTCTATCTCTCCATTTGTTCATGCTTTCTTTTATGTACTTTAATAGAATTTTGAAATTTTCTCCGCAAGGCTCTTATGCATTCTTTATTAAGATAACCCCTAGATTCAGTAATATTGCTATTATAAGTGGTATTTTATTTTGTTACGTTATTGCCTGTAATACTGTTACGTATTTTCTCTCTCTCATTTTTTTTGGGTGGGGGAGTTGGTTGCTAGTGGTGTGGAGAAATGCAATCAATTGCTTTTAGGTTGGCCTCGTATCCAGCTATCTTTCTGAACTCCTATTCATTCCAATGGTTTTTCTGTGGATTCTCTTGTGAGTTCTATGTAAATAACTATACCAGTTGCAGACACTGACAACTTTTATCTCTTTCCTTCCAATTTTATACTTTTCTTCCTTTTTATTATCGCCTCATAGAGGCTACTGCCTCTACAATTCTATTACATGGTGGTGGTGATGGCAGGCATCTTTGTCTTCTTCCATTCATTAAAGGAAATATAGTTTCTCTATTAAATGTGATGTCAGCTATAGGTTTGTGGATGATCATCTTTAACAAGTAAAGGAGGTCCCTCTCCTTGGGATCTGAGATACCAAGGAAAATAAATAAAATCTCATGCATTACTTTCTAATGAAAAAATTAATAATGAAATGTATCACATGTGGTGGCTAAACCAATGAATAATCAAGCTATGAAGAAAAACAGGTGATGAGAAGGACAGAGGCTTGTTCTCATAATCCTCCTTTTCTAAGAGTTTTTTTAAAAATCACCAATTAGTACTGAACTTTGTCAAAAGCTCTTTCTCCATCTAGTGAGATGATGATGTGGTTCCCTCCTCACTCCTATTTCCATGTGTTATTAGGGTATATAATGTTAGCTATTGTAACTACTCCAACACTTCAGTGGCTTAAAGCAATAAAGCTATTTATCGCCCCTGACACAGTCCAAGGGTGCTGGCAAGGTAGTGGGCTCTTCTTCACTTAGTTGTCAGAAAGCCAGGCTCTTTCTAGGCAGTTGCTTTCCCATCTAGGCATAAAGGATCAGTGGGTCCTTTATGTTGTCCAGAGATGACATATATCACTTCTACTCACATTCCTTTGGCAAGGACTAGTCACATGGTCCCACCTGGTTGTAAGGTGGTTGGGAAGTATAATGGTGTTCCTAGGAGGAAGTGGAGGACAGAGAGATGGTGAGCAGTAGTAACCTCATCCACAACCCATTAATGTAGTGAATAACATTGAAAGCTTTTCTGACTTTGAACTGTTTATTATTTTATCATGATATATTCTTAATATGCTTTTGGATTTGATTAGATAATATTTTATTTAGATGTTTAGCATCCATATTTATAAGTAGACCTGGCCTGCATTTTTCTTTTTTCAACAGTCCATATTCCAGATTTCAAAATTATAGTAACCTTAAGTTGGCAGTGTTTCTTCTTTTTTCTGTTTTCTGAAGCAATGCATTTAAGATAGAGATCATTTGTTCCTTGGAAGTTTGTAGAATACACTTGTAAATCTTCTGGGCCCGAGCCTTTATGGGGAAGAGATTTTTAAAATCATTTCAATTTCTTAAATGGCTGTTCACATTTTCTATCATTTTTATGCTAATTTTGGCAATTTTTCTAGAAATTTATTCGTTTTCAAAATGTTTTGTCATATAGTTACTTATATTATTCTTTTATAAGTTTTTAAATGTCTGCTGTATTTGTAATTTCCTCTCTT